AAGACTCTGGGAGCAGTGGACAGCATTGCAAGAATGAGTTTCAGGGCTGTCTATCAACCTGAAGTATGTTGGGTGAGAAAGCTGGTCCAACCCCCACAGGCGGTACAGAAGCCTATTAAGGGAGACATGCATGCAAGATGACCATGGCACTCAAGATGAACAGCCCTAAGGAGGGAACAGTTGGAGAACAGCAGCATGAGATCCAATGCTAAAAGACTGATGACTGGGCACCACTGAAACTGGAGTAACAAACGCCAACACTAGCACACTAAGGGAGATGCACTCTCAAGAGGACCATGACGCTTGAGACAAGCAGCCCTAAAGAGGAGGCAGTTGGAGAATTGCAGAGCAAGACCTAACCTGCAAAGACTGAAGACTGGACACTGTCAAAACAGGAGGGAGAAACACCAAGACTAGAATGACACTGCAGTGCCATTCATAGATGTCACAGGCATGCCCCATCAGAAATGAAGAAATTTTGGTACACCTGTCACATCTGCTTGGGATGAGCAGCCTTCAAGAGGGAACAATGTGACATGACAACTGAAAGTTGGAGCAGTGGAGTCTGAAGAGGCAGCTGTTGCTAAGCAACGGCTTAGTAAACATGTTCCTGCAGGAATGAATACACACACAAGAGAATTGTTGGAAGCAGTGATTTCGACATGATCAGTCCTAAGGCTATATAATATTGACCAACAGGACAGGGCAGTCACAGCCGATGTGGAGGTGGGTTCAAATACCTCCACCATAGTCCTGCAAGTCACAGGAGGCAATGAAATGGGAACTCAGTGACTACAGGTATAACTGGGCCACCCTATTCCTGTGGGATATAAATATGGCGACCTGGTCCTACGGGTTGGGGTACTCTTGAATCTGACACAGTAAAATATAGTCATGAGCTCTGCAGAACTCGGACCAAAGAATGGCTGTGCTGGCAAGTGCCAGTAGTAATTGTAAATGACAGAACCATCCTCTTGTCAGAGAGGGCACCCCACATCAATAAACCTACAACCATCTGACAGTAACTAAAATCTTGTTTGAGCTCCACATGGAACACAACACCAAGACAAACTGGCTGACTGTCAGTCATAACGTAACTTTGATTTTGACTTGAGGGAAGTCAGTCAGAGACACAAAAATACTGGTCATGGGTTACGCAGCATCTGAAACCAAGAATGACTGTGCCAATGAGGACCACCAGCAATTTGCCAGATAGTAGGTTAGTTAATCAGACAGACAGACAGACAGACAGTCAGTCAGTCGCAAGTTAGGAGTCAGCACTCGCAGTTGATCATTAGCCATAAGCACCAAAGTGGAGAGATCTCCATTGTTAGAAGCCATTACCTAGCAATAACTAATGACTACAAGAGACTAAGAAGATTTGGTTTCTGCTGTAGTTATTTGTAGGGTGAAGAGATTGGTGAGAGTATTATAACAGTTTGCAGTTATGAGTAACAAACATTCAATAAATACAATTACCAACCCAAACACCACATACACTCATTAACATATGACAATATTATTAGGAACTTAATTAAATGACATCAGCAGGAAATCAGGCCATCCTGGTGGTGACTGTGAAATGCCACAAGATGATTATTGGGCAATGAATGATGTACAACCACACAAAAGTTTTGTTATAAATTTCAAACACTTGTTTTGAAATCTCTGAATAAATTTTGTTAAGTGTTCTGGGTACAAAAAATGAATCAGTACGCCAGTGTGTTAAAGTATTAAATACACATAGCCTTGATTATCTAGCTATAAATTATCAATAAGCTTACATAATTAAGAAGCATGATGCACACAAGATTAATAACACCTGCTGTTGCAGGAATTAAGATGAACTTGTTCCGACCTTCAAATATGCTTTTAGGGCCAACTGAGGCCATTCGATATAATACCACTCCAAACACAGCAGCCACTGCCACAGAAATCTGCAAACATGAGTAAAAACAAGGTTTTTAATACAATCTTATGCGTGTCCATTGCAAGATAAATACACTAAGCTTGTTAAAAGACATATTCAAGATGGATTAAAATGGATCTGTATTAAAGCAGTAAAACAAGGAAGCTATTTGGCAAAGGCTCATTCAAATGAAACCAAGAAGTGTCTGAAAGCTGTCAACTTGGATTCGCAATCAAACACACTGAAGATATTAGTTCCAAAAACTACAGGATCACACAACCATAAACTGTGCATAACTGTGGTTTTGCAAAGCCATAATTTCCATAATTTTGCTGAAATTTTTGTACGATTTGCTTCATGTTGAACACAAGTAAATTTACATTATAGTGTGTTTTATATGAATATCACTGTGAAGTTTAAGTATACTAGGAAGTGCAGAGACAATTCAGAAGAAAATTTCCCAGGGACTGAGTTCCCTGCAGAAACAATATTAAGAATTTTGTCATTAAAGTAGGACCTGGTATATTAACAGACAGGACACAAAAAAGCTGGGTGGTACTGCAGCTCAGCTTGAACTTTCTTCCCATATGCACATTAAGCATTGCCGTGGAAAGACCTCGAGGAGTATTCTTGCGACATCACCTTATTACTCAACACCGTAACTACAATTCAACATAACTATAACATAAAATGTTGAACAAGTCGTTTCACAGTCATTCCTTTTGTGTTAATAACTCTCACTAGACTGTAGAATTGTTCTGCACTCCGTGCAGCTTCCACTGGCTTCTGTCAACACACACACTGCTTTCTGTCGGCTTCCACTGTTTCAGGTTTAATTTTGGCCACCATCTCCTTGTGGCTGGTGGCCAACTCTTCTCGCCAGGCTTTTCTATCTGCGTCCACCTTCGCCTGGTTGGCATCCAATTTTGCCAGCATTTCCTCTTTGGTGTTTAGTTTCTCAATCCACTGCTTCCAATCCGTCACTCTTTTACAGTCTTGGGCCCAATGACTGTGAAGTTCGCAAAACACCAAGTGTGCTAACGGAGGCCTAAGGGTCGTGGAGGCAGAGGGCTCTTCCGCAAAGTTAGGCTTCCCTCCTATCAAGACCAGTCGGTTCTTGATCTCCTGCTTGACCTTCAGAAGTGCTCGCTTGGCTGAGCCGATGTATTCTTCAGATACCTCCACATCAGTCGTGTATTCACTGTCATCTAAAAGGTCCTGGATATCGTTATACAATGAAATTAGTTGATCCAGGGTCTCCCTTAGATGGTCTCAGTAGTACTCATAATCATCAAGGGGGGCGCTGGTGGTGGATTCCCTTATAAGGGTAGCGAACCTTGTTGTTTTCACCCTTGCTGTGGAGCGCTTCCTCTTTAGCCTTCAGAGTTCGCTGTCCGCCATGTCGAGTTGTGAGGGTATCTCCAAGTACAATCTCACAAGCTAGTTGATCATCTGTATAGGGTCTGTCAAAAGTCAGAAGTCTGAAATACTGATAGAGCCAAGTCAGTGACCATGGGCGTGTTTGTTTTCTCCATTCACTCAAAGTCTTGAAGTCTAAATGTGCCATGAGACAATCTACAATAATCCCTCTCCCTGGCTTCGGCACCAAAAAATTGTCCATTACGCCTGTGGCCTGCATGGCAGGTAACCTTCATTTTAGCTGTGGTCACTTCTTTCAGCGGGCCACAATTTCTGTGGGTCCAAGATTTCCCAAAGATGTTCTTCTTGTGTCATGCCACTGTCACATGGCAGGCCACCTTCCTGCAGGTGGCAACCAATATCCTCTGAGATCCACAATCTCCTCAGAACAGTTCCTTTGGCTCTCCATGTCGCCCTGCAGCTTGCTTCTTGCCCCTATGCCGCTTCTTCCGTCATTCAACCAGTTTCACTATGGCATTTTCTATGGGGACCTCCTGTTGTGCTACCTCAGGTTTCCTGTCCAGTGAGGTCAGCTTTTCTTCTTCCTGCAGATGTGCCTCTGTTGTTTCTCTGCAGGCCATCATCTCTTTGTCTGGCACAGCTCCTCTGTTGTTGCGTCACCGAGGGGAAGTGTTTACTGGCCTGTTGCCCTTAGCAGCAGCAGCTGCTCCTATGCTGTTACGTCACTGAGGGGAAGGCTTTACCCACAATGCGTGCATTACTGCATCGCGCGGAGTCCACAATTACCAACAAGCACCTTGTACAAGAAGATGCAGAATCAAGAGAGGCTACAGGAGTACCACAACAAAACTATTCAAACTACAGCTTTACAAAAACATTTTCCAGCCATTTCATACAGTAATTTATGTAACTGTTATTGTCAGTTAGTTTAAGATGGCAATCCTGATCCTGAGCAGAAATTCTTTTCAGATAGGGTTTGGTTTTCAGTGGACATGTGAACACCCAATACAACAGACAATGAAACATAAGACAGTCACATATACACGAAGTTCAATTAGGAAAACACAGATGTAGGTGGGAGGATAACATCAAGATGTATCTTAAAGGGACAGGACAGGGTGGTATAGACTGGACTGATCTGGTTCAGGATAGGGACCAGTGAAGGGCTGTTGTGAACATAGTAATGAACAATTAGGTTCCATAAATGTTGGGAAATTCTTGAGTAGCTGCATAACTGGTAGCTTCTCAAGAAGAACCCAGCTCCATGTAGTTAGTTAGTTGTAACTAATAATTACCAATAATAAAACAACTGAGAAGCTGAGGATAGTTGCAGGTACACGGACTTTCCAGAATGGAACATATGGTTCTTTAGTTTGTGTGACAACATTGGTCTTGTATTTGGCATTTCGGAGCCTGGCAAGATATTCTGGGCGAGGATGTTCTGCCTGAAGATCAAATCCTGAAAGGTCCCACCGATACGTGATGTCAGCTGAGTATCGTTTCCACAATTCCAAGAAAAGTGTTCCTGCAAATTTCATGAAACAATTTTCCATGTTACATTATACTTATAACTTAAATACACACCACTATTATTATCCTATTTATGTTTGTGTGACAACCAAAAGCTCTTTCCTGCGAGACAAACTGATGGAACTAAATAACTATTATTTTTTCTTATTAACTATTAATGTTATTATTTTCAAGTAAATGTATGCATTAATAAATTTATTCCAGACAAAATGGACAATGCCCTGGCCTATAAGTAAGTTTCTAATATCCTGATATGCATTTTTTATATTATGTTATATTAGTTTAACTAGTGTTACTCACCCCAAAAAGACATGAAGAAAGCAAAAAATATGGTGGCGGGATTGTCAAAGAGGTATGCAAATCTTGCATAGTGACAAGTTTCTGCCAGATTCCAGTAATGGCAGGTATCACACAAGGGACACATAGTGATGTTCAGATGATGGTTACAGATCTCCTCACTGGTAAAACAATAAGAAAGTGCTCATTAATAACACTCTCAAGGGGCTATTATGGAAGCAAAATTACTGTAGGAATGGCCATATCAAATTTTGAAATAGGCGGAATGTTCTTTTTCCCTTTCAGCAGATCAGTTAACACAAAATACCTGACTGAAAGTATCAATCAATAACTTCAAGCCATAATTTACTGTTACTGGACTGCCAATAAATGTCCAGTGGTTCATGCAAGATGATCTTTGAATTCTTACATTGAAAATAGGCATGGAACATCTTCCCAACCTATTAATCCATCCTCAAAATTTCATTCTGGGACTTCAGAATTCTCGCCCACAAATGACTGAGGACTCCAAGATAATAATCAGAATTCACTGTTTGACCTTCTGGCAGAAATTCCTTGTGAATTATTTCTTTGGAATCAAAGAAAACGGTTAGCAGTGTCTTTACTCGACTCTTTTGCATGCGCACTTTCTTTGGTTTTGGCTTCTTTGGGCTCAATCATGCTGCACTCTGCCGCTTTGTGAGAGGCTCATATTGAAAACACCATGTCTCGTCACCAGTAACAATTGATTTTGTAAATTTTGTATCACTCTGGGCTGACCATAACATGTCTTTGCAGTGTTCCACTCTGGCATGTTTTTCATCGCCTGACAGAGCATGCTGTACAAACTGTGCACAGACCTTCCGTTTGCCCAAATCCTTGGTCAAAATTTGATGCACAGTACTTTTTGGTATTCCCAAAAGCTCCTCAAAGAGTCTTGCAGAAACACATCTATTTGATGCAAGGATTTCGGTCACTTTTTTCACATTTTCTTCAGTGCGACTTCTTCTTGGCTTCGGTGTATGTGGAGCATCTTCAATGTCCTCCCTGCCATCACGAAATACAGCATACCATCGAAACATGTTTGAGCGACTCAAGCAATCACTACCGTACACACTTTTCATCATTTCATATGCTTCTCCGGCTGTTTTGCCTAACTTCAAACAAAATTTGATGATGGCTCTCTGTTCAACCTGTATTTTCCAACAAGCGTCAGAACATTACTGTTACATTCAAGGTCAGAACACATGATGCAGCGATGCTTGCTCTTTGAAACTATGGACAGCCACAACTCGCCAACATATGACATTGCAGGGAAAAATTAAAAAAAATGAGTCCTAATGGATCCTGGACACACTGTGTATGAGGGTTGATTTTTAACAGCTGCAGAACTCAACATAATTCAATTACTCTCCATTTAATGTTAAAAATTCATACCATCAAACACCATTTGTACACAGAGAACAGCGACATCACACCTCTGTGTATTTCTTTAATACACACTGGTTATTATCTGCACCATCCACTTGATCACTAACAAATTTTCCGTTTTGCCCAAAGACTGTATTTATGTGATTTGTATGATTCTCAGAATTTTTATTTCCCTAAGCAGCACTAACCAGTTGGATAGACTTGAAAGGATTCTGACGATGGTGTTTACTGTACTTCTTTTGGCTTATTTTGGTCCAGTGATTGAGACTAGCTCTTTCTAACGGGCCCAACTGAGTAGGTTTATCCTTCCCTATCCACCTGAAGACGGAGACAGATCCAGTCTCCGAAACGTTGTGGTTTTTTGTCTTTTTGTCTTTTACATACCAGACGATGGGTGAAGTCCAAAATAAGCCAAAAGAAGTACTAACCAGTTGGTTGATAGCATAAAACAACCTATAGATTTAATTTGTTTCATTCTGGTCCGGCACACTAACAATATTATAAAACAAGACAGTGCACCTAGAACAACAACAGGACAACATCAAAGAACCTCCTTCTCAAGAAAGACATGCGGAATAAGTTCGGCCCCCATCAAGAGAGGTGAGGAGAGAGAGGACAAAAACCTATTTGGTTTATAAATTCTAGCTTAAATAACAAAAGTTAAAAAAAAATAATATATATCAAGACAGCCGCTGTAGTTGTGAAAACTTGGGATTTTGTATCAATTTGTATATTGTCAACATTATATGTATATATATTTTAACATTCAGAACACCCATTGTAAGAGTGGTTTCCAAACTGTACCGATGTCCTTCTGATGATGGCCTCTAAGGACCGAAACATAAGGGCATGAAGAACTGAAATAGGAAGGACTTCACCAGTCACACTGGATGGAATTGCTTTATCTTTTATAACTTACAAATTTTATGAAATTCACATACCTAAGAGTATCGGAGTGCAATGTGACCAACCCATAGAAGAAGCAGATGAGGCCTACCAATGCTGCAGGAATCAACATGTATGTATAGAAACCAAGCCAAGCAAAGTAGAGGCCAAATTTAACTCCAAAGTATTCTTTAATATGATCTATGGGTTGGTACATAATCCACTTACGAAGTGAGGCCCATTCCTTATGGAGTGAATGGCGAAGACAGCCTTCTTGTGTGTAATTTCCCTGTCAAACATAAAGGACATTGTAGGATAACATATCTTTTAGAAATGTATAACAGCCATTTGATATGTAAAGAAAACATACTATTCATGGAATGCACTGCAGTGACACATTATCATACAGAAATTATGTACAACAGCTACTTATATTCAAATGTAATTTACCCATACATGAGAACAGATTGGAAAGTTACTTTCATGAATAGGCCACGCCACAACTCAAGCAGTCAGTTGCTGGCTTCCCACCATAGCGGCCTGGGTTCGATCCCAGGTCTGGTCAAGTGGGATTTGTGGTGGACAAAGTGGCGCTGGGGTGGGTTTTCTCCAAGTACTTTGTTTCCCCTGCCAATCTTCATTCCACATAGTTAGTTCTCCATCAGGCCACAATAGGCCAATCAGTGGCTGCCACGCTGAGTGGACCCAGTTGGACTCCACCCCCCACTAAGCAAATTTTTTTTTTTACTTTCATGAATTATTAATTGCTGACAGTCTAATTTGGAGGTTCTGCGTCATCCACCATACACAGTCTGTGTAACTACCACCTGTATGGGTCATGGAAGAAACATCTCACAGGCTGTTGATCCAAACCAGATGTTGAACTAGAAGCAACAAGGACATGAATCCATGCAGAGGACAAACAGTTCTTCCAAGAAGGCATAAATAAAATTGAGTACTGGTGCAATTATATGGAAAAGTGACTTCAGTGTGGGCCACAATCCTAAATACATGACGCACTGGCTTCATTTATGATCTCAAGAGAAATAACTTTATGAGTTACTTTCCAACCCCCCTTGTATTTTTCTCTGTTATCTTCCACCTTGATGTCTTAAAATTTTTAAGTGTTTTCTACATAAAGCCTATTTCAGAGCTCCAGAAATATGAATACAAGAATGTCCAAAATATGACCTACATTATGTGAGGTACATACAGTTAATCCCAGGATATTCAGAACTGATTTCTTTTGCAATACTGCAACTGAAATTAAATAACAGACCTGACAAATGATATGCTGTGTGCATCTAGATTCTTTGCAGTAGAAGCATGGATTTTACTTTTTCAGTATATTTATCATGGGGCATGCGGTAGCGTAGTTGGTTGAGGGGCTATGCTACAAGCCAGAAGGTCGCAGGTTCAAGTCCCGATGAGGTTATTGGATTTTTTTCAGTTGACCTAATCCTTCTGGCTGCATTATGCCCCTGGAGTCTACTCAGCCTCTAACAGAAATGGGTACCAGGAATTAATTAAAGATTTTTCCTGTGGAGTAAAGAGGGCCGGCGCGTAAGGCTGACAACCCCATCTTTGAGCCAATGGTCTACATAATGTGGGACCCTCAATGTCTCACAACCCTATGGGCCTTCACGGCCTGTTACAGGGCTAGTCTTACACTTTTTACTTACTTAGTATATTTATTATTATAGATATGCAACTGGACAAACCAGATCATAAAATTTCATACTGCTGAAGAAGTGTGCAGTGCTGAAATAAATAAAAGTTAAGCAGTGTCCAAGGCAAATACTCTGCCATGATTCAGGCCAGCCTGTATACTTCTGATAAGGTCACAAGTCTGTTCTTGATGGTGCCAAATACAATGAACCACAAAGTATTCCCCTTGTTGAGACCTAAATCCTAAGTGACAGACATGTGAAATTGCTACCCAGATTGCAATATGTAATGAATCTGTGGAAGCAATGAGTCATTATCAACTTCTATTCAAAAATATTACTCCCAAATGGGAGCCAAAACTGAACATGAATCAGAGTAAAGCTCGAAGGTCATGTGTGAAGTACATCAGAAAATGACATTTCTGAGTGACAAGTGACAACATCTGGACACATCATTATATCCCACACACTAGGAGAACAGCCTATAATGGCAGCAACCAAGAACTTCAAGAGTCAACATCCTGTAAACAAACCCATAGCAGCTTTGCTGGGTACTATAGGTATCATCCACTTCAATTTCATGATGTACTGCAAAAACTGCCTGCCCTTATCACTCCTTTCCATTAAAAAGAATGCATGCAAGAGATCAGTTTACTGACAAATGTAATGAATCTTCACCAAAACAATGTCCTACCATATAGAGCGCCAAATAATTAATGTTCTTGGGAAAATAAGGAAGGAAATGCTTCAACAATCTCTGTATAGTCCAGAGGTCAGAACTCAATAAGCAGGTTAAGCAGCAAGTCCTTTATTTGCTGCAGAATACTTAAGAAGTTGGGTTTATGAAGCTTGTGTAGTGAGGGAAATGTGTGGAACTGGAGGGTAATTACATAGAGAAAGAGAACTGTCAAAACTCTTATAGCTTAAGTACTATCTTCAAAACAATTATGTCCTGAAATTCAGTGTATGCTTCTGATTTGTATTTCATTCTACTGTGTAGTATAGGGTTTACTTACATCATGAAGAGGATATGCAGCACTGTAAACTCCATCAGATACCAAGCGGTTAACTCCAAAACAGAACGGAGTTTTACGGTCTTCAGAAAACTCTGTACGCTCCAAGATGAAATCTACTACAATAGCACGAACAGCAGCTGTGAAGAAATTCTCTGAATCAACATCAAACCTGAAACAGAGAACCTAGCAGTAGATAATCAATTCATAAGAAAATAAAATGGAAGAATTAATTAAACTGAATTCACTCCCTAAAGGTGAACTTATAACTACAGTCAACTCTCGATTATCCGGGATAATGGTGGGGATGGAAATCATGATTAATCGAAAACCTGGTTAAGACAAATTTTATTAAAAGTAGTACTGTAATACTGTACCTTCATAATACTACAGGCCTACCTGTATTTAAATTTATTCAACCTCATTTTTATGTCATCTCATGGCCTATTTAATACTTTTTTTACATTACACTGAAGTATGAATTAGTTATTTCAATCACAGTCTTCAACAACATCCAACACTTTTTACGAATATTTACACTTAACACTTAAAAAAATTTAATATTGTCGTTTACTTTTTCGCGGCATTTTCCTTTTTCTGTTGAATACTTAACACAACACGCTTCCTTTTACACCCTGACATTTTGCTAACGCACTTGAAGATCGATACAAAGAGACCAACTGGGGCGGTGTATCTGTCCTTGAAACTTTCCACAAATCCTTGCATTCTTACACCCCTTCCCTAGAACATTGTGTTAGCATAACGGGACCAAAGAATGCAGAGCTTGATTCACACTAGTGCGAAAATAGTGTTACAACTCACCATGTGAAACAAAAGTGAATGGGTATTAAACAACATATAAGCCTCAAAAAAGCCTCAGTAGCCACAGTTAAGCCACAAACCGGTTAATCTGCCCCTGGATAATCGAGAGTTGACTGTACTAATTACAGTGTTATTAAGGGTCATCAAAGAAATGGAAATCTTTTAATAATGACCAGGGCCCAGATTTTGATGACCTGAAAATATTTAAAAAATTACCAAAAAAATCCAGAAAAATGACCTAAAAATGTAATATGCAGGGCCTGGATTTTGATGACCTGAAAATATTAAAAAATGACCGAAAAATCCATAAAAATGACCTAAAGGAGAAAAAAACACTTCGCTTCCATGTTATTCACATTTCAGAAAACATATGAAGAAAATTTCCCTAAAATGGCCAAAAATGACAAGGAATACTCTTAAAAGTCCAAAAATTGCCCCCAAAATGAAAAAATAACCTTAAACCTAAAAATGTCAAAAGACCTATAAAATTTACATTTCTACAACCAGCAGCTCATATCTGAGATTTATATATTTAAGAGCATCACAGAGGATACAAGGAAAAAAAAGATGACATGTCATCAAAATCCGGGCCCTGATAATGACAAACTGCATTGCCCTGGATCATAAATGGTTCTTCATAAAATACTATGTAGTTGTAGATTACATGTTACCATAAAACTCTAGTACTTGTTACTGTAAAACTATTAATTCAGTTCTCTTTTTATGGCACTCACTCTCTTAATAACCATAAGGCTATCTAGAAATATATATGTCAATATGAAAAGAAACATAAAATTGTTATAACCTTTTTAGAAACATCTCTATAACTGAAACAAAACAATCTTGTAACGGTCAAGACAAACTTCTAATGTTTTTAATTCAGTTATGAAGAGGTTCTCATATAAGAGTTTGGAAATTTGAGTGAGAGATGATAATTCTTGATATAAACCACTGAAAGACAGTACAATGATTATGCAATCGTGGCTAGAGCATTAGTAAAGAATATTATTAATGATTTAAGAATCTGAGTGTAAGCAAGACAAGACAGTCACTGAAAAACCATAGATGTAAATTCTATGGCCAGTGGAAATTAGAACGGATGAGAAAGTAAAGACATACAAAGCATCAACTCACAGATATATTTTTTCCCTATCAAACTCTGCAGTAAGCCTGTGCTCCTGTGGAGGGAACACACTTGGATCAACACGAAAATATTCCATGAGATGTCGTACCAAAGATTTCACTTCCTGCATGATATCAAATGATGATTCTTCCAGCTCCTCTGGGCCATCAAACTGAAAAATATGTGGTTTCTTAGCTGTTCTTAATTAAATGAAAAACTAGTCTAGTTCTTACAGCCTAAAATTTATGTATAGGCATACTTCAAACTATGCTAGTAACCTAATTAATAAAACACAATGAAATATGATGAATGACCAGCTTACCTTTTTCATTGGCATACGAAGTTTCTGTATTTCAGCATAACGGCTAAGAACCTCAACTGGAGCATGGATCTTGATAAAGTGAAGTAATAGATTCTGTTCTTCTTCCAAGATCAATCCCTCTTCTCTTAGGTGACGTTCGAATATTGCCCGTTTCTTATACGCAACTTCACTGCAGGAAACTGATGAACCCTCTGTCCATACTAGCACAAAATCTATAGAGTGACCTTCATTTTGGAATGCCGATGGACTTGTCACAATCTGATAATAATCATGGCAAAAAAAGAAGAGAATGTTTCGTTTTTATGCAAAAAGTTGTTGATGAATGGGCAATACTGATTTATGAAACAAAAAGGGATTCCACGATACCAAACTTCAATGAATATGTGCTGAATAAAACACTGGATACAGATCATGGAGTGTTGGATTGCTGCACTTTACTGTTTAGAATTCTGTAAGACTGTCTACTTATTACCTACATAAAATGAATTCAAGGATTTCAAAAGTACAATGCCCGAATACTGTAATAAAACTACCATCCAGGTACACAGAATCTACTATCGATTAAATTAAATTAAATTACTGACAGTATTACTATGGAGGAGACACCATCCAGGTATGGAGGGTGGCTGTGACTATACTGAACAAGCAGTTCCAGACAGCTGACAAGGGACAGTCCCCCAGCTTTGAGTTGGGTATGGTGCTAACAACTCCTCGCTGTAAAAAATAAGCTTGTTACGAAAGACCACAAGAAGCTTCGGACCTGGAAGGATTCCTTGGATAAACGACCTAAGCGAAAGAAAATGGATATGAGATTTGGAACATGAAATGTTAGAAGTACGTATAGGGCAGGTTTGCTCAGGGTAGTGGCAGAAGAAAACTCAAAATAAAAGCTAGATTTAGTGGGAGTAAAGGAGGTCAGATGGGACGTAGGTGGCACTGAACCAGCAGGCAAAATACATTTTTCTATGTAAAGGGGAATGAAAATCATGAATTAGGTACAGGCTTTTTCGTACATAAGGGAAGCATATCAGCAGTTAAGTGGACTGAGTTCATTAGTGGTAGGATGGCATACATACTACTAAGGTGTCACTGCTGTGACATCATTGTTCTGAATGTTCATGCCCTAACAGAATATAAAATTGCTAACATAAAGGATAGATTCTATGAAGAACTAGAACATGTATTTGATAAATTCCCGAAGTACCCTATGAAAATTTTGCTAGGAGATTTCAATGCCAAAGTAAGGAGGGAAGACATTTTCAAACCAACAACTGGGAATGAGAGTTTGCATGAAATTAGCAATGATAATGGAGTTAGAGTAGTAAACTTTGCCACATAAAAAAATCTTACTGTCAAAAGTACAATGTTTCCACATCGTTACATCCATAAATTTACTTGGACATCTCCTGATGGGAAGATACACAATCAAATAGACTATATTTTGATAGACAGGAGATGGCACTCAAGTATACTTGATGTCCGATCATTCAGAGCAGCAGATTATGATACTGACCACTACCTGGTAGTGGCAAAGGTTAGGGAAAGACTGGCAGTGAGGAAACAAACAATGCACAGGGTTCATATTGAGAGGTACAATCTCAATAAATTACAAGTAAATGAGGTAGAGGGTAAAGATGTCACCGAATCTTAAATGTTTCTATTTCTTGCAGTTCTTATTAAAATGGGACATGACTGATGACCACTTTGAAGAGAACTGATCAACTAATGAACAGTCGTTTCCACCCGTTTATGGCAAAACAATAAAATGCGGCATTTTCTTGTGTGTTCCTAGATTTCTCCACTTTCAAACAATGATAATTCTCTTAACAACATTAACCAAACTATGACAGACTATTGAAACTAAGACATATTTTCAACTTCCTGAATGCCAAACACTCAAAATATTACACCTTTTTTGATGGGAAGGTATTTAAAAAAATGTATATCCAAGGGACACCTACGTTTCAGAATAAAACTTTATAAGTCTCATGACATGTCCAGCTACACTTATGATATGGACATCTACTTAGTGAAGGAGAAGACATGTCTGACCACAGACATGACAGCAACACATGAAATTCAACCCTCCACAGAAAAGGTTGAGGGACATAGATGTAAGCTATATTAGGCCAACTCATTCTTGTTGCCTGACTTATTCAATGATCTGACAAAAAATAAATTCAACTGTTACACGGTAGTCAGACCCATGAGAAAGGAATGTCACACAGCTCTGTTTGCAACCTACTTCTTGTTGGTTTCTCACTTGACCTACTCTTCAAACCTGATGTTCCTCTGAAATGTCAGTGGACGACTACCAGACTACATATGAGATGACAGTACTCTTCACAAGCTGTATGCTGCCTTGAACTTGCTTGTTGCTTACTCAGCTTACATATCCACCCTCAAGATGGTGGCAGGACATTTGTCCAAAATGTCGCTGGACTTCTACCAGACTACACAGGGTTACGTCACAGATGGTAGTACTTTTCATATCTATGAAGTGCCCATAAAAATTTATATTGCATGTTTCTGCAGGAAAATACAGAGTAATACTATGAAGACCATCGTACTGACTGTGACTCCCAAGTGCAAGTATAATTTAAAAACCAGAATATGGTCAGCCAGGATCTTAAAGCTTAAGACAAACAAATCTGATCATGCAGAACCATCAATCACAAATACCAACCACAATATATCTGTCACCTACACAAATGGCTCTTCATAATCCTGACACTTTGTACACTGACCATCAGGGACCGGATTTTGATGACATGTCATCTTTTTTTCCTTGTATCCTATGTGATGCCCTTAAATATACGTTGTGCGTTCAAGTTCTAAGGTCTCCGATTTTTTTCCTCACACTATAATCATACAACAAATTTGAAACTTCTGTCACTTTTCAACGTAATATCCCTGCAGCCATACACATTTTTCACAATGCCGACGCCATGATTCCATGGCCGCTGCGAACGCTTCTGTAGGAGTCTGTTTTGACCACTGGAAAATCGCTGATTCAACAGCAGCACGACTGGTGAATGTGCGACCACGGAGAGTGTCTTTCATCATTGGGAAAAGCCAAAAATCGCTAGGAGCCAGGTCAGGTGAGTAGGGAGCATGAGAAACCACTTCAAGGTTGTTTTCACGGGGAAACTGCTGCGTCGCGTACGCCCGATGCGCTGGTGCATTGTCCTGGTGAAAGAGCACACGTGCACCCTTTTCCGGCCGTTTTTCTCGCAGTGCTGGAAGGAGCTTGTTCTTCAAAACATCTTGGTAGGATGCAACTGTCACCGAAGTGCCCTCTGGAACGCAATGAGTAAGGATTACGCCATCGCTGTCCCAAAACATGGCCACCATCATTTTTTCAGCACTGGCGCTTACCCGAAATTTTTGGTGGCGGTGAGTCTGTGTGCTTCCACTGAGCTGACTGGCGCTTCGTTTCAGGATTGAAAAACGGCGTCCATGTCTCATCCATTGTCACAATTGATGAAAAGAAAGTCCCATTCATGCCTTCAACACGTGACAACATCGCCTGGCAAACTGCCATGCGTGCAGCCTTCTGGTCATCCACCAGAATTTGTGGCACCCACCTGCAGGGCACTTTCCGCATTCGCAGGTCTTCATGCATGATTGTCTGCACAGATCCCACGGAAATGCCAACTTTGGAGGCGATGTTTTCCACACTCAATCAACGATCCTCCAAAACAACTTTCTCAACTAGCTCGACCATGTTGTCAGACCGACTGGTGCGAGGCCGAGATTGTTTTGGTTCGTTGTCACACGACGTTCGGCCTTCTTTCAACTGTCGCACCCACAAACGCACATTTTTCACATTCATGACACCATCACCACGTCTCACTCAACTGGCGATGAATTTCAATGGGTGTCGCACCACGCAAGTGGAGAAAAAGAATGATTACTCGCTGTTCTGCTAACGAAAACGTCGCCATTTAGGTATCAAAACACTCCTCACTCTCGCCGCCACCACTAGAGTTCTGTGTGCCGTACAGTGCTGCCATCTCTGTCACGCATTCACAAAGAGTGCACACGTATTTTAAACTAAACCGCATGTTGGAATACATACCATACGTAGTGTGTTCAAAAAGTATCGAACCTTTGGTCGGCAGAAATACATTTATTGATTTGGAGGTACAAAACTCTAATCCCCTTCAAAGTAGTCTCTTTGGTAATGCACACACTTCTCCCACCGCTTTCGCCATTGTTGGAAACACTTCTGGAACGCGTCTTTTGGAATGGTGATCAGCTGGGCCGTCGCATTCCGCATAATGTCTTCTCTTGACTGAAATCGGGTTACTTTCAGCGGCATTTTCAGCTTGGGAAATAGCCAAAAGTCACACGGAGCCATGTTGGGGGAGTAGGGAGCTTGACGAACCACAGGAATGTTGTGTTTGGCGACGAAAGTCTGAATCAGTTGCGGAGAGTGGGCGGGTGCGTTATCATGATGGAGCTGCCAAGTTTTTTCTGCCCACAGATCCGGTCGTTTGCGCCGCACAGCATCACGAAGGCGACGAAGGACCTCCTGGTAGTATTCCTTTGTGATGGTTTGGCCTTGTGGTGCGTCCTCATGATGCACAACCCCACGGAAGTCGAAGAAAACGGCCAAAATGACCTTGACATTGCTGCGGACCTGCCGTGCTTTTTTAGGCCTCGGGGATGTCGGATGTTTCCACTGTGACGACTGCATCTTGGTTTCCGGGTCGTACCCATAAACCCACAACTCATCGCCTGTGATCACGGTGTTCAGAAAGTTGGGGTTACTGTTTGCATTGTCCAGCATGTCCTGTGCGATTTCCAGACGGCGTTGCTTCGGCCTTCGGTACGAATTTCGCGGACACTCTCCTCATGTCCAAATCCTCGATCAAAATTGAATGTACCGATCCAGTGCTTACCCTTATCTCGTTCGCAAGTTCTCGGACTGTGATTCGACGGTCCTGCATGGCCAAAGTCCGCACTTGCTCAATGACATTTCTCATTTCGGCTTGTTGAGGGTCTGCCTGAACGCGGTTCGCTGTCCACTGATGTGCGGCCATCTTTGAAGCGGTTGTACCACTCCTTTATCCGTGAGTTACTCATGGCATCGTCCCTGAAAGCATGTTGAATCTTGCGAATGGTTTCCACTTGGATATCGCCAAGATTTTGGCAAAATTTGATGCAATAGCGCTGCTCATGTTGTTCTGTCATTCACACCTTACTGGAATCCGACGGCGCTCACTACACGTCCTCACTCATAGGCCGACTGCCAGGGACTGACGCTTTCTGCGGGCGGGAAAAAATTCACGACTGCGCATGAATGTCCCATCCACATCTCCACGGAAGGGAGCCTCCCGCGCTTCATTGGTTTACGCGGGAAAAAAGAAGGTTCGATACTTTTTGAACACACCACGTATATGTACATTTGATAAGCATTCTAACACGACAAAAAAACGTATTAAAACATTTAGCTTCAAATTCAATCAATATTGCTTAATAACTAGTAGATATTCTAACATATTACATTTTTGTGTCATATTTTAGGTCATTTTTTAAATATTTTCAGGTCATCAAAATCCGGGTCCTGGTGATCACAATCAAGATACTTACTGTGTTCATCATGTTACTGTATCCAGGTCATCTGAACTATCTGTAATATGGTGAGAAATCTATTAACATATTGTCACATGTTTGGAATCCAGAAGAGTTATTTCCATGGAAACGCTAGAACAGACCGTTGCATAGGAACTAACAATAGCGGTATTATAATCCCAACAGTGAGCCGTTGCGTAGAGAACGCCGAATCTCCCCAGAGATGAGTCTCCACGGTTATAACGAGGGTTCATTGCATAACAGGGGCCGAGGTTATAAAAAGGGTTGAAAGCATTTTCCAAGTTATTTGGAACCTAGGCTCTATGCGATACAGAAGAAGACAGACAGAAAGACAGCAAGGATACAATCTTGGGATAGCCGCCGCCAGAGAGAGTTGAGACGTCGTATTAGAGTACTGGGCCAGAAGTCAGGCGATACTGCAAACGATAATAATTGTATGGTGTGTAAGTGTGAGTGTCCAATAAAGATTCGCTAAATCCGAGACCCACGTGAAGTTATTTGTCACGTGACATACCCAACACGTGACAACTGGTGTTAGAAGCGGGACCAGTTCGGATTAATCGAATCAAATTTAAAAGACTGACTTGCACAAGTGACCGACAAGGAGCGAACTTAAACACGCCTCCACTGACGGGGAATTATTGAATTTACGAGCACAAGGAGCGTTACATTACAAAACAAAGAAGAGTGGAGTCGCAACAAATAATGGAACTCCTGCTGGCTATGCGAGAAGCAACCAGGCAAAGGTGGATGCAAGACATGAACAATGTAGGCCGATTGGACAGCCTGGCGGGAAAAGACGTTGGCCTGCCAAGAGATGGAGGCACGTCAAGAAACGTCAGAAACTGAAGGACTCGACACGGGGAAATTGTGGACTCCAGAAGAAACTGGCCGTCGCCCGCAGAGGGACGAGCCACAGTGCAACAGTGGCATGGCACGAGTAGAAGAGAAGCGACATTAGGATGTCCCGCCGGGCAACCGTGTCACGACGCACGAGAGACATCCTCGGGCCGAACACGACCCACCGTGCAAAAGTGGCACGGCAGAAGGAAAACGTCGGGAGAAACTGTACCATGGCCGTGATTGAGCGAGCAACCCAGAGAGCAGGGCTGCTCAGGAAAAATTTAAGGACGCACCAGGAAGGAAAAAGAGGAACAAAGGACCGAGGCGGCAAGCGGCCGCCGTACGTGAGAAGAGGGAAACCGTGAACTACATCGAAGGGTGTGGACCAGAACAGCGATCACACCTGGAAAGTGGAGAAAAGAGCAAGAAGACCGTCAATGTGACTTTCAGAGGAAAGATCGCGAAATAAGTAGTCGGTACTTCCAACAGGTTACGGAAAATAAGAAAATGTACTTTGTGGAGGGGTCGACCCCCTCCAAAACGAAAAAAGGGAAACGGCCCGTATGGGAGGAACGGGTAACATAGAAGCACCGGCCTCCCCCGCAAGGGTGAATGAAGACTGAATGAGCGAAGAATGAATGTGAGGCGACAGAATCGACAAATTCTGGACTATGGTAGTGCTCGGGACGAGCACCACTGAAGAGAGGGGCGGATGCGGTAGAATGAACAGCGCAAAAACGCGAGAAGAACAGCAAGACCGAATGCAGACGTTGACAACAGAGCACCGCAGAAATGGAAGAGAGGAAGAACCTTTAGGCTGTTCGGGGACGAACAAACTTTAGAAGGGAGCAATGTCACATGTTTGGAATGCAGAAGAGTTACTTCCATGGAAACGCTGGAACAGACCGTTGCATAGGAAGTAACAATAGCGGTATTGTAATCCCAACAGTGAGCCGTTGCGTAGAGAATGCCGAATCTCCCCGGAGATGAGTCTCCACGGTTATAACGAGGGTTCATTGCATAACAGGGGCTGAGGTTATAAAAAGGGTTGAAAGCATTTTCCAAGTTAGTTGGAACCTAGGCGCTATGTGATACAGAAGAAGGCAGACAGAAAGACAGCAAGGATACAATCTTGGGATAGCCGCCGCCAGAGAGAGTTGAGATCCAGCCATGGCCAAGGATAGTTGAGATGTCGTATTAGAGTACTGGGCCAGAAGTCAGGCGATACTGCAAACGATAATAATTGTATGGTGTGTAAGTGTGAGTGTCCAATAAAGATACGCTAAATCCGAGACCCATGTAAAGTTGTTTGTCGCGTGACATACCCAACATGTAACAATATCAAGCAGTCCTTTTAACCTATGCTGTATCCATATTGGGTTCAGTCATCAAAAATAAACTACAACTCTGTCTCAAATTTGACAAATCATATGCCTGTATCCAAAAATAACCAAATGCAAAGGCAGTCCTTCAAAATCTGTCAACACAATATCGACATACAATCTGAAATACTTTTAAACAAAGTAAATGGGTTGGAGGTACAAAATTTCTGAGATTACACTGAGCAAATGGTGACTAATTCCTGTGACAGGAACATACTTTCACTCAACACTAATACGCACCTTATTTTCATTACTGCAACTATTGGATTTGACTGGCTCATGTCTTGCAGCCATCACTGGATCTTCTATGTTATCACTTTGCTGGGTTTCAAGATCCTGTGCACTGTCATATACAGTACAGTATGATAAACTGATGTATTCCCTCCCTTTCCTCTGAGCAGATCCTGAACTAAAGGAGTTAACCGAATTCGCTGATATTGCGTCTTCAAAAAGATCTGCTTCCTCTTCCATTGTAGAACGCCACTTTTAATATAATCCTCAATTTCTGAAACGCTGAAAGACCAACTTTAAAAACGGTATCCTCTGTGCAAATACGTGGGTCATTTCATAAATAATGCACAGGTTGGCAACACTGCGGATTAGATGATGCAACAACAGTAAGCCTCACTTCAGTTACAGTTCAGGGCTTGAGAAAGAAGCGCGTTATTTTGTGTCATTTATAATGTACTGTGTTCTTAAACAACGTGAGTTAGAAATGGAGCCTGCATAGTTCTCGGGTACTGTGACTGTTGAAGATCAAATGTCGTACATTAAGATCGAAACTTTACGTGGAAGAAACCCGACAGAAATCCACAGCTGAAATCACAGTCCAACGAGTGGAGAGGTCCATCTTCCCCACAACCAAAAAAATGTTGACGATCTCAATCAAAGGTCAAACAAATGATGATCTTTGCTTATGATCACCAAGGAATCATCATGACAGGCAGAGTTCCACGCGGGAAAAGTGTCACAGCAGTTTATTATCGCGACTTTATGCAAAATCTGCGCAGAAAAATGCATAAAACCGACCTCAGTTGCTTGAGGCTGGGCCGATCATTCTCCATGACAACGCTCACCCGCACATCAGGAATGACGTAACAGAAAAGCTGCGCCAATATGGTTGCGAGGTGTTGCCTCATGCTCTCTACAGCCCACACATGAGTCCACCAGACTTAGACTTATTCCCAAAGTTGAAACAACCTATGCGAAGCCGTCATTTTCCTTCTCTGGAAGAGCTTTCTGCTTCAGTACCCGAGCCTTCGACAGATAACCAAAGATGGTGTCCTGCATGGAATAGTAAAGCTTCCCACACATTGGGACTCAGTCATTGAGAAGCAGGGGGACTATACTGAAGGACTGTAAAGAGATATAAAAAAAAAAAAAACATGGATATAAACAAAAAATTGTGTGCCTTATTTCTGAAATGGCCTACGTACAATTATAAAGTAACTTTAGGCACTTCATGGTCCAATAATGGATATTAGTTCTCTCTAATGAACCCAACAGAGTTGGCACCTCCCACCCTTTCACTTTAATATGGAAACAGATCCAATATCAGACAATGGACAAAGAAAAAACTAAGTAATTCCAAGTGTTACAAGTACATACAATCATCAGAACCCTTCATAATCGGTTGATGGTATATGTTCTGGAATGGTGGTAATTTTTAGAAAACTTCAAAATACAAAGGAATAAAGGTAAAAAGGTAAAGTCTATCCCTGTAACAGGCTGTGAGACATCGAGACTGCCACATTTTCTAGACAAATGGCTGACAGCAGTCAGGTTTTCAGCCTTATGTGCCAGCTGTTCTTTATCCCCCAGGAAAATTCCTGGTACTCATTTCTGTTAGAGTCTGAGTTGAACCCACAGCCACAGTGCGGCTGGAAGGATTAGTTCAACTGAAAAATACAATGACATTGGGAATTGAAACCGCGATCTTCCGGCTTGTAGCACAGTGCTTCAACCGACTATGCTAAACGTGCCCCATACAGAGGAATAGCCTGTTAACTTTGTAAATTGAGAATCAAAGCACCCCGATGAACATATTTATTTTGTACTTTTAACTATAGTCTAATGATAGAATGTAAGCAGGTAAGTATGCATTCTATGGAACATGATGTTCAGGGTCTGTATGACATTACAGGTAAAGTTCGCCCTGTGCTTAATTAATTAAGCACCACATTATGAAGATCTATGTGGGAGGACAGGTACAATTCTAGCATTCTTGACCTTGGCACTAGATGGAGGTGAGTGGTCAGTTTCACACCAGCCTGCTTTACCTCCAGGGAAGATCCCTGGTACACAGTGAATAGAAGACAGGGTGGTCTGCATGCTGTGCAGTAGAGAAAAAGCTCTTGTTTTTGCCAGGAATTGAATCCTGGCCATCCAGCCCATAGCCCATAGCTATACCAACTGAGTTATACTTTCTCATGTTCAGGGTCTGTAACAAGTTAATATATAACACAAAACATTTTGGTAATTCCACATCAAATCAACACAGAAGCAGATACAACCACTCTGGATTTCAGTGAAATGTTGTATGTGTATTTAGGCGCAGACAGTCTGATGAGGAAGTGATAAACATGAATCTTTCCCTCCCTTTGTCAGTCAATTTACAAGTTACTGCATTTTGGAGTTTAAGAGTTATCATTAACTTTTCCCATACTGATTAAATAAATGTTTATAACTCTGGAACTAACTATGGTACCAAGTTCATTCATGTATAAAATGAAAGACCTTATGTGGAGCTCTCAGTGTGCACAACTCTCCTATCATTTTGGGGAATGTTGAGGAGCAAATTTGGGATTGAAAAGTTAAGTCATTACCTCGGTGCCTGGAGACTTGCGAAAAGTGTTTTGCAGTGAAAGAGCAAAGATGACAACACATGGACACGCAATGAGGTTAAGAATGCGATAATCAGCATTCATGCGTAATACCGTATGCAAGACGCTCCGCTAACTAGGCCACTGGAGATGGTCATATGAGTAAATACACAGCGATAAGACGCAAGAGGTCCACCCCCAGCCACATAGAATANTGTGACCTTTAACCTCATTTTATGAAAAATATACAGTCAAGTTGTGATTATCTGGTTACATTTCTGGAGAATTTCGTGTTGGGACATGAATGGACTGTTTATACTGTAATGGATTTGATCAACGCGTTGCCAGGCAACCTGTCTGTAAACATGGTCCAACACGCAACAATAAACTGTTTTTTCTGTAGATCTGGCCGACGTGCCAATAGAGTGGTTGGATAGCGATGTGATACATGTTTACTGTAAGTCCATGTCTATTCCATGGCTATATAACAAGAGCTGGGAGCTGTAAGTTCATAGTGAGTTGAAACTAGGAGTACAGAAGAATACAAGAAGTCAGCCTGTGAAAACTTTACGTGTGATTTTAAGACTTCATGCAATGATATCTGGAGTGTGACAGTTATAGTTCCTGTGTTAAAAAAATCTGTTGCCAGGAAATGGATATGCAGAGAAATAGTCATTGTCTAGATCTGTTACCTGACAACTAGTGTAAGCAGATATAGAAGACTTTATTTATGTGTCATAATTACAGCAATCTTGAAAGTGTTTATAATTATTTGTAGTTACGACCAGTGAACATTTAATAAACCGACTCACTAATCCACACTCGCGCCTTCAGTCAACCATACACGTGACAATATATATGTGTTTATAATTACAAGCTACATACATATCACTGTTAGTCAGCTGGATTGAGGATTACGGAATACTACACAGTTAACACATCAATAAGAGAGGCAAATAAGATACCTGGCACGCTTATCAACTAAAATATTGAAATTACTTTGTGAGTATCAACTACTGACATCTCCACCTAGTACCAAGGTCAGGAAAGATGGAGCATAACTAATTAAGCACAGGAATAACTTTAGCTTTTACCCACTCCTTAACCTTGTCCTGAGTTTCACTGTTTCCTTGATGTGGCATTCAACAGTACAATATTCAAGAGTGACTGATGGAATCTTTATAAAAGCCTGCTTGTAAAGCTGTCTTAGTCTCATGATGCACTCCTCATAAGGGTTTTGCAGACTTGCCTTCCTTAACAGCCTTTTAACTGCTCCCCCAATTCCAACACATACACTTCTGCCTTGTGAAACTGCACAAAATTGTTATCAGCATCCATACCACAGTCATTATAACATCACTGGTTGATAATTTTGGGGGGGGGGTTTATACTGTGAGACAGAACCATCAGAAATATTGCAAATTTTAAATCCTTAATTATCCCCCCCCCCAAAGGTGAATAACATGCTTTGAAACAAATGAAAAGCTGTAGCATTATGTTTTAAGAACCTGATAAAGAACAAAACAGAAGCTCTCTATATCTTTAGTTTGTGAATAATATGCCATAAATAGATGAAGAGTTGCCTGACCATAAAAAAACTTCATAACAGCAATTTCTTCAGCTCTAACTTTCATCTCCAAACCTTTAATGGGACATGATTATTATCATGTTACAGAGTTTTCCAGCTTTGTTGACTGGTTCCATGGTTCTGTGTCTCATGGCAGACAGGCTGCCGCTTGCAGCGAGGCACATATGAATGTTGTCAATGAATTAGCATGCCCCACAGCCAATATTTGGAATGAAGGGAAGTAATTAACTTGTGGACCGCCTGACAGCATTATGTTTCACAGTGAACAGTGCAGTTCATGCATGGTAGTTTGTTTATGATTTGTCAGCAGTAGGTTGAAGTTATCAGCCCCATTAGCCATTTGTTCTCAGTTACAGTTAGTGAGCAGTATGGTACGTCATGACTATGGACCGGATTTTAATGAAAATGCACATTTTTTCTTGCAACCAGAAAGTATGCTCGTTTGGATATATGTATGAATTACTTCATTTCTTAAATTTTGGACATGGTTTGATGGTGCATATAAATGCATATTTTTCCGGTTTTATGAATAAGCATCATATTTTCGAAGATCTCTATTTATACTGCATATTTCCTTTTTAAAATATTTATCAAACATANTATTGCCCCTTCTATTTGAATGAACAGACAGCTGCATCGTGGCTGAGATACAGAGCGTGATCTCTTTTGTGTGCGTTCGTAGTGAAATCGAATACTGTAGTTTCATTTGAACCTATATATACATCAAGAAGGTAACAACAAAAAAGGTATGTACATCGAATTTTACACTATATTTTTAACATACCTATCTGCAGAATCTGCAACAAAATTACTGGATTGTGGATAAGTTTTGGCATAACTCATACGTATATTTTTATTTGCTGTTGTTCAGTAAGGTATTATTTTAATTCCTCTATTAGGGTTTTACTTAAGTCGGTCTGGTAATTACTACATTTAAAAATAAATATTCAGGACTGTGCATGCGCTTCTACTAGCGGCGTGTGCGCGCGCTTCCACTAGCGGAGTTTAAATGCCTGACTGGCCACAACTGGGTACTTTGGCCACGACGACCTTACTCATGACTGGCACAAACTGGGCACTTCGGCACTTAAAGGTTAAGAACCTGATAAAGAACA